CTGTATTTTGCCTTTGCGCTGCTCTCTGACCCTCCGTCACACGTGTGAGTCAGTGCAGCACTCTGCCGATATGAGTTCTTCCTAACAGCTCCTGTATTTGCACAGCCCGTCTCCCCTTGGCCTCTCAACGCCGTCCCTCGCAGCGCTGCTAAAGAGGATCACGGATTGCTGGCAAGCGGCCAAGGCGTACCTGCTGAGACGGAATGTAGCCTTGACCACGTACACTGTGGCTAACACCGGTGGAAATCCCTGTCTCTCTGAAGCACTGTATGCTGGGAGTTTCTCGCAGACTGCCATTCTCAGCAGTGGGCATTGCCACAAGGCCTTCCTGACCTCTTTGGCTCTTGATGCTGACTGTAAAAACAAAAACTCCGCTCCAAAAGTGATCTCCTTAAGTACGGGTGTCCAATCCAATTTTACACAAGGAGAGTGCTTAAGATTAGAGATAGTGTTTTTTATTGTGCTCTTCAGTAATAGGAGTAGAAAGGGTGAAAGGAGAGATGGAGGGAGGAGGGAGGGAGGGAGGGAAAGAGGAATGGAGAGGACGGCAGATCGATAAAAGCCGCTCTCTCTGGTTGCCTTTATTTTTCGTGTCCGTGGAGACGATGTTTAGGCGGCCGGTGGCAGCAGGCCATGTAAGGGGGGGCATTAAAGTGCCGCAAAGGGACCTGCTCTTTCCCTATAAACAGGTGGAGAAACACTCGCCAGCATCCCAATTGAACACAGACTCGTAGCGCCGGTTCGTAGCTGTAATGAACAGCAATCAGTTTCAGTGGAATGAGATGTGCTGTGTACCTGACCGGTTTGTCATGGAGGGGCTTTTCATTAGGCGCCATGGATTATCTTGACGACGGCACGTCAGCACTGGCAGAAAGGGCGCGCGCCCTCCGCCCCCCCCCCCCCGATTTGCTCTGGCCTTTTTTCTTCTCCCAGTTCACATCCAGTTGAATAACTCGTTTGTCACATACATCAGAGGAAGGCGAAGATCATACAAGAGCCAGTGTTACTTTGTGTTCCACTAATGAGGCCTGTACTCTCCGCCTCCTTGCCTTTGCCTTGCTGCTTTTTGAAACAGCAACGACATGGTGCTACAAGGCTTAAGTAGTTTTTTCTTTCTCCAGTACTGAACTGCAGGCTGTTATCCTGTTTGTATGTGACTTGGCTCTGGCGCAGTCCTTTGCACTTGTTTAAGGCTCAAATCGCAACAGACCTGACACAGATACACTGGCCTGTATGCCCTGTGAGCATTACCATTCAGATTGTGACTAACCGCCGGCACGGAGGGAACACTAGAAGGCAGACAATGATTTAACAAGTGTAGTAGAACCCGTCATGACCATTGCAGAACTGAGGCATGAACAATAAAGCGTCCAGTACTGCAAGCAATGAAAGTCAGCTACATCAGAGAATATCCCTAAGCCAAGGAACTGCCAAATAAATAGCTGAAGATTGAGCAAGAAGGAAATTGAAAGCAGAAGCTCTCTCACAACTTGCTCATCAGAAAAATTCGAAAGTATAAGACATCCGAAAACAAAACCGCTGATCCAATACATTCTCACAAAGTGTCTCACATTAGTGTACTGGTTTCATCATATGACATTCACTTCAAAGATGGTTTTCTAGCTCTTTGTAAACATGATTCCAACTATATCTATGATATTATCTTTCTGGATGGAAATGGAACACCTGTAGTTGTAATTAGTTGTAACTTGTTACATCAATAGAAATGGGCGAATTTGGTCTACCGATAAATTGTTGCGTTTACTCAAATGCTAGATTTGACTTATAATCAAATCTTTAGTTATAGGCGACAAAAGCAACTTTCTCAGAATTCTGACTTGAATCTCAGTACCCCTAAATAAATACATTTTGGTCAGTTTACAAAAAGAAGATGGTGAAGATCTTCTTCCGTAGCTAAGTCTAATTTTAGTCAAAAAAACGTCAAATTCTGACGTCTAATGGTAACCACTGCACAACTGTTTATAATAGTATAAGACTGACTTTTTATCCTCTGTCTTAACAATTGTGAGGCATACCTTAGGAAAACACAGTTCCCATCACAAAGTAATCTGGCAGAAATGTATGGATGCATGGAATTGATGGTCCTACGCACTTTGTTGCAGGATGACACAGCAATGCCTCGCGGCTGAAGTTGAGACAGGTTAAACCTTCTTGCAGCGTGACCCTGCGTCATGTTGCCGGAGGCCCTCTGCTCCTCCTAATGAGGAATCTGTGTTCTTTGACGGTCTGAGGTGCCACCGTTTCCCAAATGAAATCAGAAAAACCCGGGCTAGCATAATGAGATATCTCAAAACACAGGATAACGGTTTATCCTGAATTCTGATGTTTGTACAAGGATGTTTTTCCCCGATCATCACTTGGGTGTTAGTGCAAACACTCCTTGGCAAATCTTTAAAAAACACCAATCAGGGGGCAGCGATCTGACAGTGACTTACTAAAAAGACATAACTGAAGCTTTGATCTCCTTAATGACATGAGCCGTGTTTGATGTGCAGTGGAGCATAGCATCTCCCTGTTATCCAGGCTGCTGAGCTGTTTGTCTCCGCTGGACTGCTGAGCGCCGACGTGTTGACGGGTGTAGCTCCGGCTGGTTAAAAGCAGGACACAGGATCTGGTTGGACTTTTTTCAGCTGTCATACCAGGAGGTGGATCTTTTTTTAGGTAACCAGCCCCATTCTCCTTTTGAAATGGGCGCTTAGAAGTTGAAAATTGCCAACATCAAGAGCTTCCTTGAATTAGGATGCCCCGCAATGCAAGTGTGTTATATAATGCCATGACTGGAGGGAGAGGGAAAGTAGAGCACAGGGGTAGAGATTAAAAAAGTTTCTGCATAAAAAGAGAAGGGGGGGTGAGCATGAAAGGGAATGCAGGGAGGAGGGATTGAGGGAGAGACAGAGGAGATAGAAATACAGTGTAATAAAAAAGAGAAGGGGGGGGGATTAGGTCAGGCAGGAGCGAGGGTCCACTCCAAGCAGCCTTGAGGCCCCGCAGGCTACAAGAAGCTGGTCAATCCCTCTCCTCTCTCAAGGCTTCTCCATTTTTTCATTTAGATAATGGAGCCTTTCCTTAATTGGCAAAGCACAGTTTAGGCCGGGGTTTGTTTGCCAACACGTCAGCGGAGAATTATTTCCACTACATTCACAGCATAGTGTTGCACAGCTCTCTCATTAAAAAATCCCTGCCCAGAGAAGTGCTTTCTGTGGAAGTGTGCAGAAAGAGGCCAAACACCACGGCAAGCAAAAAAAAAAGAAAGAAGGAATTTAACGCATTTATCTCCTATCTCACCATCCCCAGCCCGCTTGTAAAGGAAGAGACAGAAACTTCTCTATCTGTTTACTGTTATTGTTTTTCTCCAATCATAAAAACCTTACTCCTGGCTGCTATGGTGTGCCTGTTTCCACTCCTTCTCTCTTATCGAAAGAGTTATGCATTGAGTTCGCATGATCTGTATCTTTAAATTTGATTGAGGGTATTTGCAGGGGGTGTTATTGGATTCCAGTGTTATTGTCTCACCTTTTCCCTCCGTGTTTTTAATGTTGGGATGGATATCCGCTCCGGCAGCACTGATCTCACTGTTCTGCTCATTAGTCTGGAGTCGCAGAGCCTATAGTGCTTCGTCGCAACAATAAGACATGCACTTCTGTAGTCCAGCTATTACCCAGTTTAACAATGTGCACCAGCCAGAAAAGTCCATTATTTCTGCAGCTCATCATCTCAAGCATCCGCACGAGACAAAGGGTCCGTGGAAGTGGTTCATTGCAAAGGGCCATCTATCACTTGAGTCAGGAGGAAAGACTTAAAAACATATGTGCTGCAGATGCTCCACAGTGAGTGTTCTGGAAGCATATGGAAAGAAAGAGAGTTATATGAATAATAACGGGGCTTATTCTCAAACTGAAATGTGTCTCCAATGAAATATACACTTTTTCTTTTCTGGCTTTTCTGGTTTTAGACATAATTTGATGCTGCCAAAATGGCATGTTTGTACAGCTAGTTAAGAATCTTGGGTGCTATTGTTTCAGTGTCCTCATTGTATTGGAGGTCATTTACAGTATCTTCTGCTTCTACTTTGACATGTTTCCATGCTTTAATGTTCATACTATCTGTGCTGCGGCAGCACTTTTCACCCTCTGTCTGATACCAGAGCCCAGTCTTCTCTGATTGGTTAGTTGGCCGGCTCTGTTGTGATTGGTCAGCTGACTAGAGATATGTTAGAAATGTCCCGACCCTTAGCATAATCACGTAGAATGTGCTGGAGCACTAGCCGATAGAAGCGCGAGTGTTACATAATGATAGTGATTATGTTACGGAAGTGAACAAAAGGGGGATAGAGGCATTTCAGGCAGGGGGGAGGGGGGGTGTTTGAGAGAGAAACTCCCTTTCACCTTTGGGGACTTTGCAGAGCATTTACATGGACAAAAACCTAAATAACACACTACAGGAAAGGGAAAAGCCAGAAAAATAAAATAGGGCCTTTTTAAAACCTGTTAGAAAAGGTTCTGAATAATACTCTGATTAAGACGAGAGAGTGAAATGGGAAATCCTTATAAAGTGAGACACAGGTTAATGTTTAAAGTAGGAGCTCGGAGAGGGAGCAGCTGCTAGCTTAACAGACCTGTCATCGGAATCAAAGGCCCTAATCAAAATTGTATCAATTAATTGATCTTTCCTCTTGTGCTTTGCCACGAGTGCAATTGAGATTCCCCCTGACTCTTGCCCCTCCAACAGCGAGCCATGCTCTACAACATAAACTGTGTTCATTAGCAATGATCAAGGAATCCTCTAATGTGAGCTGAGATGTGATATGATGGCTGTTTCCCCCTGACTTAGTTAGTTTGCAGGACAGCTCTCCTCGGTTGCCTTCTGAACTGTGGGGAACTGGCACGCCTTTCATGCTGCTCGTACGAGTGCAACAATGTACTTTAACTTTCATCTGGGGCCCAGTTCTAACGCTTGCCTCCTGTTGTGTGTTTCTGCAGGGTAACCAAGAGGCCACTAATCCCCCAGAAGCGATGGCCCAGCCGTACACCCCAGCCCAGTACCCCCCACCCCCACAGAATGGCATCCCCGCAGAGTTCGCAGCACCGCACCCACTTCCAACGCAGGACTACAGCGGGCAGAGCCGGGTCCCTGAACACGCCATGACCCTGTACACGCCCACACAGACGCACAGCGAGCCGGCCGGCACTGACAACAGCACGCCCGCCATCACCGCCACCACGACCGCACCGGTCAGTGTCCTTCATCATCTGCAAACACTGTTCTCAACACGCTGTCAGCAAGTAAACTATACTATTATCACTTCTTTACCTTTTTTTTTCTTATATCCTAATGATGCCTGGATGAAAAGTATACTGTATATTTGTATGTGTTGTTTCATATCAATTTAGAATGTGTGATTCTGACGTTTTCCCTTTTAACAAAATGAAGAAGATTGGTAGATTTGATCTCACACAGGTTTAATCGAGAGCCTATGGAAGTAAATCTGTGCCATCTGATTCTTTGGTGCTAGAATTCCCAGCAACGAATAATTATGCATTGAATTTATTTTTCCGAATGTAATGTAATAGTTCAAAATATTCTTTTTTTTTTCAATGTTCCCAACTTCAGAATTAAAACTTTTCACTTAAAAAATACAATATACATATTCATGTTGATAGACCAAATCCGGCTGCATAAATATGATGTATAAAACTCAATTCTAGATCAACTCTTCTACTGTATGTGCCATCGTGTGTTTGCTTTTTTCAAAGATTTTGTAAAAGACAACCACCAAACAGACAAACACAATGGCAAATATAAGAATGGATATACTCCCTTAAGCACCATCATTCAACCAGGTTTCAATGTTTTTTGCTCACTGCCTTCCCACATCGAGGTGATGATACCAATGGAGGGTATGAGCGTAGCTTGACTTGATATGGAATCGATTGCTTTTCCTTGGGTTCCCTGAAGGTTTCAAACCTAAATGTATACATTGAATTATTGCAACTTTGAAACTTGAATCTATATGTTACATTTTTTTAAACGTTTAAAATGTTTATTCTGAACTGGGAGAGAAAAATAAAAATAATGTGATCTATTCATTTTCCAGGCTGAAGTACAGATACATCATTTTAATGCATAATTATTTGATGCTAAAAATTCAATGGCTTTTTATTTTCAAATTCAGATGGAACAGATTTATTTACATAATAATCTTATTATTCCCAGTACTTGTTTCTTCCCCCTGACTGTGGTTTCACTGAGGAAGTTAGCTATTTTTGCTAATATTCATTCACTCTTTCCGCCTTCTGCCATGGCCTAAAGCCTGAAAGCTTCAGCACCTGCCTTCTTCCTGTTTCACGCTGTGAAGAAACTCTCTGTCTTTTACAGAAGCAAAAACAATCTACACAATTGCCATGAATCCAACTCAGTTATACACAACTTTAAAAAGCACTTTGGAAGATAAATATCCTGCCATCAGTTTAATATTAAAAGAATTAGGCCTAAACATTCCCACAGAATTAAAATGGTAATGAACTAAGAATAATTACACCTTTAATTACGCTCTGCATAAATCATAATATCACACAATTAAATACGATTTTAATCAAGGTATGTCAAAGGAGAATTCAAGCGACGATCATTTGTCTTCATTTGCAAATACAGTCCTTCTGTTTTCACTATACAATATTCAAATGTGTAATTCTGCTCCATTAGGTTTATACAGAGTTGCTTTGAGAAACTTTTATTTCAGTTGACAATGTTATCGTTCTCTGCATCACAATCGCAACAAAAATGACTTTCTTAATAAAAAGTGAGTGTAAAAGTTATACTGAGTCTCACAGTACTAATCATCCAGAAGCAGCAGAAGACTTTGATGTCATGGCAGCGCTTTGTGCTCGGCGTGGGAGGTGAATTTGGTTGAAAATATGCTCATAAAATGAAAGTGCATTTCTGAAGAGCCATTTGGGGCTCCCTTAAAAAACATGTAAGCCCTGCGCTGTTTTATTTATTTGCGTGAAAGGAGATGTGACTTGCTGTAGACATGAATGATTCAGGATCTGCGAAAGGAGGGCACGCCCTTCCCTCCTGATCTTTTCGGGCAGTAAAAGAGAGACACACTCTCTCTCCAACAGCCAAAACTAAATTACCGTTGAGTCAAATCCGCTAATTTATTTGTGCCAGCGTCCAAAAGAGACGTTCCTTTAAACGGAATCCTGCGTAACTGTGCCAGGACCTGATTATACTCTCATTTATTTGTATCCCCCCCCCCCCCCCCACTATAAGATATGTTTAAAGTATTGGCACTCCGAGTGGAAAACAAACCCCTGGCGATGCTGCATGTGGAGATACACAGCCTGGGACTGAGTGGAATTCTAAACGATATATTATTCATTTCATTCTTGTGTACTGATACTCCGATATGAAATACCTTGACCTGAGATTTACCTTCACAAGAGTCAGGTGTAGATAAAAGGCAGGGCGACTCAGCTCCTAACTTTCGAGACGTGTCTTGAAAGATGGATAATGCTCACTGAGATGAAGGGAAAAAAAATAAGACCTTCAGGCCTCTCCTTTAGCGTGAAAACACCTGCTGGGAGGGGTCACGGTGAGGCCACATCCCCCTCAGAGGGATCTGGGTCACTCATAAAGAGCATTGTTAATAACTCCATTTTTCCCGAGCCTCCCCACTGGGGGACATTTGGTGGCAGGAAAGTGCTTATACGGCAGAAATGGAGCCGTGGCGCATTATCGCCGGCCGGTAATGTAGCAATGTTTGATTTGAAGATTTGTGTGACGCTCTCCAACTGCTCCGTGGTTACGCGGCGCACTTTACAGTAATGGCTGACACACACGAGGGTTTAAAGTGAGGTTCAGCGTCCCCCCCCCTCCCACCTCTCTCACTGTCTCCTCTCTCTCTCCATTTGATTTCATTTCATCTGTGCCCCCGCTGTGAAGAAAGCCCAGAGATGGTGGCCATGGAGAGATGAGAGCTCGCCTTACTTCTTCCTTCATGCTCACCCCCCACATCCCCTCGCCGTGCCCGCTTTCCCCCTACCCTCCTCACACTCCGCGCTCTCCCCACTTCCACCCATCTTTTTTGTCAGGGAGGACAGAGGGATGAGATTAGTGGGGTGTAAACAGAGAGTCTAATCCTCGGGGACCGCTGGTGTAGTGTCGCCCACCGCTGAGTTCCCCAGCTTTAATGACAGACCCAGCCTGTTTGCTCTGGGTGCCACAGACGGGCCCGGGTGCCTTTGATTAGGGCACCCTGCAGGAACACAGATTGAGGGAGCAGATCAGCTACTCACTGCATTCCCCCCCGCCCCCCCCTCCTCCCTAGGCTCGACTCTGCTGCGCTCAGCTCCTCTTCCCCACGAAGACGCTTTACTCTGCACATCTTCTCGACTTAAAGACTTAAAAAGAGTCAAGAGAGAGTGAGAATGCAGTGAAACGTATGGATTCTGTGTGAATTCCCCGCAGAGCACGGAGAGTGTGTTTTAATGAGGCGGGGTGACTCTGTTTTCTGCCTTGTGACTACCAGTCTCACACGTCCACACTGGGGAGGAGGCGCTGTCCAGAGCCAGACCTCTGGGACCCCCGATCTGTGACATTTTCAAACAAGCTGACTTGAAAGCGGGACGACTTGAGGAAGAGAGGCAGCCCCCAACTTTTTCTCTCCAAATCCTAAGAGATGAGGGGAGCAGAGGGCTGCCAGGGAGCTCTGCTGAACAAAAAAAAAACTGAGCTCGTTATCTGGCTCAGTTCAAATAGTCTGAGGTTTGGTTGGATTTCATGAGTAATCATTCTCTTTTCAGATAACAAATTAAGGCAGTGGCGTTAGGGCAGCACTCAATTCCAGATTTTTCACAGCCCGTGTCAGACGCGTGAAGACTTTCCAAAGGGTATTCTGGGGGACTGTGATAACACACACACATACCAACACACAAGGGCGAGCACATGCAAACATTTCATACATCCACGCACGCACCCTCTCATCTGTCGGGAGCAGTATTTAGGGGATTGAGACTCCGCCGGGTGTAGCTTTCAGATGCGGTGCTGATGGCAGCATGTAGGCCACCATTAAGAAGGGGATGACTCGGTTATCTTCAAGTGAGAGGAACCGCTGATTTTACACCACTGTGCATTCCCATTTCACAGATATTATCAGTGCTCCTCCACATAAAAAACTCCTGGATAATTTGAAGGATAAGGCCGTTTCTATTTATATCTTTGTATTTATCCTTGAATAGGCCAATGTAACAAGTTAAGTCCTTTCTTAACAATTCTATAACCTGACTGTGCCTCTAAATCTTCAAAACAGCTGACATGTAGCTTCATTTTCAAGTGCATTTGAGCTGCTGCAAACATTTCAAATGTTTGATATTAAACCAATAAATGCCAGAATTGGTCGTGATGACGAATGTCAGTTTAGATGGTTTAAATAAGATAAAACCAGATTAAACTTGTACGCCCTACCACCAATACTGATAATAGAGCGTTCTTGAGGACTAGTTTCTGTTGCGGATGAATCCACTTTTGGTGCTGGGGTAGAGAGTATTTGTAGCAGCAGGACAGTGTTTGTGGGATTGTGTCTAAATACACATTGTGTAATAAAGGAACATGTCAAACAGTGCAACAGTATTGCTCATTGATGAGTTTTTAATATGTTTTGGACAACAATGGAGCCTTTATGGCAGAGAGAAGGATGAAGATAAACAGATAATAGTTGTCAGTAGATAAAAAATCACTGTTTGTTTGGTCTTTGGAAGAATCTGTCAATTATAAAAGGTTTATATAAGTGAGTATTTAGTGTTAGATTATGTCAGTTTAGCATCACACTTATATTCTGTCGGCTTATACTTACAGTAATATTAGCCTACAGAACAGTACAGCTTACACAGAATAAATAAAATGTGATCCTTGTAATGTAATAGTAATCTGATTACGTCATCTTTTTTTAATATTACTATAATGGAATACAGCTTTTTTTCCTGATTCGTAATCCCGTAAAATGTTACTCCCCAAACCTGACACTACGAGACCCAGAAGCCTCAGCTATCATTATTTAAAGAGCCAGACATGTATGGTTTCACTTGGACTGAACCAATGCTCTGTTTTAATCTAATAATCAAAAGTTGTATAATAGAGAAGCTTACATTTTTTTGTTGATACATTAAATTGGATAGTTTCATGTCTATCTAAACATTATTGGCGCTCCACCTGTCAATCACCTTAAAGTGTGTACGCAGACACTGTTACAGTTGAGTACTGTCGCCTGAACGCCCAAAATAACTCGCTATTTTCATATAAATCAGTGGGAGGAGGTGGGGGTGGCCCCTCCACTCCACTCCACACACCCTGCACTCTCAGGTGATGGAGAGGATATATTTGCAGCTTCCTGAGAAAAAGAAAACAAACAGTGGAGGAACGGGAGGGGGAAAATAATGAATTTAAGCTTGGGCATTATAATTCTTGTGAGAGAGGACTCAGTATCCCCCCTTATTTAATCGGATGTAATCTACCTGCCTGGCAGCATTCCAATCAGATAGTTTCAATTATGCTCTTGTAATGCCACTCTGTGAAGAGGGGGAAAGTGCTGAGCAGAGCACTTTGCAGGCGATTTGCAAATAACAGCAAAGGAGTCTTTTAGAGAAATGACTGAACAGGAAGCCGGAGAGTTGCTGGAGTTGACAGCTCTCTCACTGGTTCGCTGGCTTTGGCGGTGACGGAATGTTTTGCATCCCACCTCCTCCTCCTCCTCTTCCTCCCCGTGACAGCAGCTGTCGGAACAGTAAAGTGCCACTGAAGGTGGCCACCTATGGTAATACGAAGGTAATTATTTTCCGCTGCAAAACCACCATTTCCCAACCAGGCAGGCATTTGGAGCCCCGGGAGCGGAGGCAACATCCCGGATCCCGGTGACACTCCAAGTTATTGAGTTAGTAGCATGCAGTCTGGGGTTGCTGTGGAGTCAGCGTTGCCGTATTTGTGTTCTCCGTATGTGTACTTGCCCCCGATGTCAGCGTGCTGCCGGCCTGTCTGAGCGCCGAGTGAAAGTTAATCTGGATGTTTGCAAACACGCGAATGCGCTCGCCTTGATAAAAAGCCAGACAGACAGAGCTGGAGGACAGCGGTGCTCAGTAGTCTGGCAACATACGCTAAAGGTCGATAGTGTCATGTGTGACCGATGAAACAGATTGACCCGCGGGCCTCTGGTACCTTGTCACCCTCCACAGTCCCAGCATCTGTCTGCAATGTGTCACCCCGGGGCCCAACATGGCTACTCAGGCTATTAACCTCCAGCGCGGGAGGACACGGCAGAGTTAAGACCCCTCCGCCGCCTCTCTCTGTCACAAATCCATACCTTACCGTCCGCACATTCCCTGGCCCCCCGTGTCCTTCGCTATTTGTTACCCTTTTGGTCCGGAAGCCACCAAAGCCCGAGCAGGACTCAGGAAGCTGCCGCCAACCTGCCGCCAACCTGCCACCAACCTGCCCTACCTGGATGGTTGCAGGGGAGACAAAGTGGGACCTTGAATCAAACAACTGTCACTGTTAACAATGTATGTCACCGTCTCCGAATGGGCCATAAAAACCAAATAAATGACGGCCATTACAGTGGAGATTGTGATTATGATAATGAGAATAATAAAGGCGATCATCATTACGATCATGATGATAATGATAATACTGTGATGATGAATTATAATGAATAAATCCCTACCCCATTTCCTAAATGGTGGGAAATGTATCACTAAGAGTGGCCCGCAGCCGTGTGACAGCCTCCGAGCAGGGTGAGGGTTATCACCGTGTGTGCGAGTGTGTCATCTGAACCGTTTGTACTCTGGCAACAACCTACCTTTCACGTCTGTATCTCAGTACAAGCTTGTGTATGTGTATGTGACTCAGAGAGCTCTTCCCAGGAGACATAGCAGTTTACATATCACATTCAAACAGCTTTTGTGCTCAATATCTGCCTCTTCCCCTCTCGCGTTTCTCATGCCCTCCCCTCTTTCTGTCTGCATTTCTTTATTTAGTCCCCTTTCCCAGGCACTGCCACTAAATCAGGGTTCATTTTTGTTCATTTTAATCACCCGCTCGCTGTTGCAGAATGCAGACGGTTCCCGCAGGAAACACCACGGCACTGGCTGTTTGTTCAAATGCTAAAAAACAAACCTTATGTTTTCTTGATGAGTGACCTCTTGTGGTCATGGAAGTAATTACTATCCGCTCTCAGAGGCAAAGGTGTGATGCTGTCATAGATTTGCTAATTAGGCAGTTGGTTCTGTGGGACCTGACCTCACTTTGTTGCGGTTCTCACAAACAGCCAACGTTTAAAACCTGTTTAGCCCGAGCCTGTTTTTCAGGCCTCAGGCATCTGACATTCCCAGAACAAATAAATCATCTTTTTTGTCAAAGCAATGATAAACCTGTGAGTTGGATGTAGAAAAGTCAGAATCAATATAGATTTTTTTAATTTTAAAGTAAATTCAGATTGAACATAACAAAACAAAAATGGACAAAAATGGAATGACGGATTATCAGTAATCATTTGAAAGTGACACAGACACATTGGATTAACCTTCCGCAGTGTTGTTATCGTTTTAATGCCATTGAACACAACTTTTGATCAGAACAACAGCAAAGGTAAGAAAATGTCCCGTGTTTCCTCCGTGAAGCTACGTGTTTTGCAATGTTTGTCGCGAGTTCTGATCGCTAGTGATGATACTTATATTTCTGGAATCTTTGGAATCTCAGTTTGCTAATCCATATCTTGTTTGTGTAGATTTGATAAGTAATAAGGGTATTTTACCTTGAGTTCTGTGCTAATTTTTTCGCTCAGGGCTAATTCAGAGCCTTTGTTATTACCCTTTTGTTTCGTTTAGCTAAAAATGGGTAATATTGTCTGATAGCTGAGTTTCTTCCCGTTAAGTGGGTATGACACATTCATAGTTTATTAAATGTTAAGAAGCCCTCAGACGCTGTTTCTTGCAAGATTTTGCATTTTGCCCCCGCCCGCGGGGCTATGGGGTTTAACTGGCCGTGACAGGCTCTCTCCAAAGATGAAATGTAAAGCTCACTAATTAACAATATTTTTTAAATCTGTACATAAAGACAAAAATGAAATCTCCTAAAAGGGAAATTGATCTGAACTCTCTGAAAGAAAGCAAATAATCCTACCTTCCAAAAACTACTTGTATACAATTGTTATAGTAATTGCAGTACAATAATACTTTAACTCAACAAAGCCTCAGGTTGGGTTAGGGTTAGGGTTAGGGTTAGGGTTAGTGAAGGCAGGGTAGAAAACACGCTAAAGGAGAGGTCTGACATTAAAAAGCATATTGAAAGGAAACGACCAATGACATATTTTGCCAAACATAGGGTCTCATTCCACATTGGTGCATATAAGAGAGAATAAACCAAGTTGTTGACCAATGAGGTGTTGCTCACAGAAAATGCTTCAAAAAAAGAAACCGCCTCGAAAACGAGGTCCATCTTAACAGACAAGCCGCCAGCCCCCTCAATGAAATCCATCATGGGTGTCACGGGGAGAAACAAGTGGAATTTGTCATTGACATCAGACACGTCATTTATATAGAAATGTCAGCATAGCATTCGCATAATGATGGAAACAACCACGCTGAGGGCTTTGGGCCTCGCACTCTGATGGCTGTGTGCAAACGTCACCAATAATGTGTCTTTAGTCTAGACATGTCAGGGCTCCGTGGGATCTATATCCACGCCTTTTTGTCAGCGCCTTCAATCTTCCCTGTTGCTCAAGAGCTAAGTGCAAGAGATTAATAACTGGATTTGTAATGCACAACCTCAGGTTTGACACTATAAGTCATCGGCTGTTTATCGCTTTGGCTTTCTCGCCAGATTGAAAAATGGCAGACGCTGAGTAAGTTAGTTAGCCAACCCTGCATCCCCGCCTCCCTCCTATTGCAACCCCCACCCCCCTTGTCGTACTCCAGGACCGGGAGGTACAGTATACTGTAGCGGCTAATGAGCAGCTTGTGTCTTTTCTGTTTGTTTCCCCCTGGCAGACAGATGATGTGACGCAAATAGAGGGCTCTCAGCAGCTCCAGCTCCAGCACTCAGACTCTTCAGAGAAGCAGCAGCCCAAAAGGTTACATGTATCCAACATTCCCTTCCGCTTCCGGGACCCTGACCTAAGGCAAATGTTTGGGGTGAGTACCTTGAAGGAACATCTAAATGTATTCCATTATGTTATAAAAGGTTTGGCCTTCTTCCATCAGTTTATATAACACTGAACTTGGTAAGTTAATTCCTCCCATCTGGTAGCATGGTAACAACGAAACAACAAAGTCCGTTTTCGCCTGAAACCAAGAGAGCATCCTCGTGCGTCAGAGAAATGTATTACACTTTTCTCAAATGCAATATTCTAGCTTCGGGGAAAACGAGCACTGGGGCTAAATCACACATCAAAGGCCATATATTTAATGAGAGAGGCGATTGCTAAAACCAGCATCTAGGTAACTACATTTTCAGGAAATACAGAAGAGTTTTGACAAGTTGGGAGAAGTAAAGCCCAATGTATCAACATCGGGCTGATGGGTGTGAAGAACTCTCTGCTACACAGACACAAGGAGGAAGTTAAGTTGAGATATGGAACCCAGTACGATGATCATTGACCGTTCATTTTAGTTTTCTCTTTTCGGAGTTGATTTAAAACCTGTTTTATCAACTTGATGAGCTGAACTGGCTCGCCCTGTCATTTTAGAAACGTTTCTGTGTCTCAAGCTGCTATTCACTTTGCAAGAACAATAGTAATGGCAACTATGAAGAGAAAAATAATGGGTTTTTTTGGTCACCAGCAGTCCACATATATCAGAGGTCTCCCAAAAGCTTCTTTAATAGCTTTTAGACCATTACAGAACAGCTTAAATCAGGCAGATTATTCCTCCTGATTACCTGTTTAGCAGATATACACACTGAGCTGTCAGCTGCAGACAAATGCTATCAGATTACTTATCAGCATACCGAAATCCCTCAACAGAAATTCTCCCTTCCTCTCTCTGTCTCTTGCCCAATTAATGAGGCAATGAATAGTTCAGCAGCTCACCCTTGTGTCTCACAAAAGCCTCAATAAGAATTGAACCATACATCCCCAATTCAATAACCATAATGGATCTGAACGGAGGCGATTTGCCAAAAATGTACTTTAAATGTTACGCGCTAATTGGACCATTAGAACCCGGAGGCGTTAATTCTCGCCGTTATGAAGACAACATCCAGCTGATGATATTAATTACTGGAGAGCCCTGGCTGTGGCTTTATGAATAGCAGACAACATGGCTGCTCTCCTTCTCCCTTTCTCCCTGTGATTGTTGGCTTTATTGTTCCCAGCTCTGGTGCAGGTCGTGCGGAATCCAAATCGCCTCAGTAATTAGCTCTGAGGCTTTGTGTGCCTGGCTCGCAGATATACGATATAAAATTGATCGCGGCCCACCCAGTCCCCTCTCAATCACCCTGCTCACCCACGTATCGCCCGCTCCGTCCTGTTTCATGCCCGACCCAACTTGGTGGTTGGCATTGTGGGATTGATTGTCTTGGGTAGCGCTTGGCACAGAGCAAGCTGGTCCGCTCCACCCTCTGACATGGCCTCCACAATGGGCCTTTGTGTGATCAGCGTGTGCAAAGCCTCATCCCTCTAGCTCTAATGGCTTCTGGAGCGCCACCGGCTCAATACGCCATTACTGTTGCGCATGAGTGAAACCCACAGACATGCAGCGGGGGGAAAGACAGAGGAGAAGGAGAGTGGAGGTGCTGCACAAGGAAAGCCCCAGCCAGGAGCTCCATCTGCTCCCCTGTCACACTGAGAAACTCTCCCCGGTGTCGGCGGCCCGAAAACAAGAAGGGAGGGACCGCACTCTACCCCGCACGCCACAGGGTTAAGGGTGTGAAGAAACCTGTGAGCCTTTAACGAGGCGCTGAATGAAGAGCTCATTAGGACGACCACAGCGGACCTTAATCAGTAATTAGAAACTGTGATCTTTGAGAGCTAGCAAGTGCGGGGGGAAATGAAAACACTCCAAGCACAAGTGAGCTATGCGCGGAGCCCATGCTGTGCCGCTCAAGGGTGCCCTCGTTTTTGCGACTGGGTTCTTCAGCGGCGCTTCTCTCAGTGCATGTAAGGGCTCTCACGGCATTCCCCCGGAGCAATCAGGACCTCTGCCCTCCCCCCATCCTGCTGTCACGCTGACTGCTGGGTGTGTGAGCATGCTCAACACTGCCACTTTGCTGTTTGAATACACAGGGGCTGCCGGAGCGTAATTATAGGTTTCTTAAGAGCTTAAAGATATTCAAGCAAATCAAAGGTGGAGGCACACTGTGGCAGACGTATGGCTTTGAACACACAGTGTATTGTTGATTCATTTATGGGAAGGCACACAAGGCCACACTCCGTCACCACTGTGTTTTAGCTCCATAGCTGCGTGTATACTTTTCATGTTTGCCTGGTTTACTTCTGCAGGAATATTAAAGATGCAGAATCCTTTAGCCGTATGTAAAATAGAAAATCAGCTGATACATGAAAATAATACTTCCAGCAGCATGATTTGCCAAATCTGCAATAATACGGGATAAATAGGGTAAAACAAGCACCCTCTGGTATGGTCTTTTAACGTGCTGCTCTTAACTGCATCTTCGTATTGATATTGAATCGTCTCAGCCGTGTATGGATGTATGGACGGATCGAGCTGCAGCCTCTTAGATGACGTCAGTCTTTCTGGTCCCTCTGGAGACTCCTCCCATTGAAGCTATTGTTTATCGGCTCTGCTGATGCAGCTGTTTGTGTGTGTGTGTGTGTGTGTGTGTGTGTGTGTGTGTGTGTGTGTGTGTGTGTGTGTGTGTGTGTGTGTGTGTGTGTGGATAGGAGTGCATGAGATCACTGGTAAGCAGCGAGCAGTCCCCAGCGCCATGTGGAAATCCTGAAAGACGACTTCCACTGAAACTAATTAATCGACGCCACAAGCCCATTACGCTCGGTTAAAACAATTAGCATCTGCACATTGCGTGGGGGAAGCATTGTCATCTCAGGCGAGAAAGGGGCATCACGCTGGGATATAAATGCCTTGTGTGTGTGATCGAGCCAATGCTTCCCATTCGAATCAATGGAGCTGAGCGCCATATGAGGCATATGTGCGGATAGGATCTATGGAATAGTTTATATAGGGGAGGAAATCTGCTCAAATAAAGGAGGAATCAAACAACCAAGCACTGTTTTCCCTTTAAGTCAGTGTGTTCAGAGCGTTTTCAAGTGGGAGGGGACATGTGCTAACGCATAAACCCTCACCTCTTCAAGCCACTCACTTCAGCTAGATAATAGCCAGCTCCTCCTAACCCCTATTAGTGGCTCAGTCAAACGATCCATCCATTCCCATTGAGCGTCGACCACATGGAAGGCCCATTTCTTCCCTGTTGTGCCGAAATGAAGGCGACGCGGACCGCTTGACAGGGTAATTACTTTTAATGAAATAATACGGCCATTGTAGACAGCAATTAAAAGTCGCTCTCACTCCACTCATTAGAGGAACTTACAGTTTACTTTCATTCCTCTGTTTTCTAATGATCCGAATGCAGGCCTTTAAATCGAAAGGCTGGAGCATGTTAACCCCCGGGGACCGGCCCCTTAGGTCCTGTTGACTGTGGGAGCACGCAAACAAAGACAGAGAAAGAGAGGAATATAAAAAGGAAAGAAAGGTTTATTCACGTCTGATCCGCCGTTATCTGCTCAGAAGAGTTTTCCCCTGCTGATCGTGAAGGTGGAGGAGGTTCCATATCTCAACTTCAAAATCTAATCTGACACAATCTTTTTGTGTGGGTGTTTACGGGAAAACAAACAGCAGAAAAGCTCCTATGTAATCAAAGTTCCAGTCTTTTTTTACTGTGATCTCATTTCAAATTGTATCAAAATACAAAAACGCATTAAAGCAGCGGCTACTGGTTCTCTTTCTAAAGCACGTCAAACCAGCTTCAAGAACTGTTTGCCTAGCTAACAAATGCAAATTGACCACCGTCTCCTCACAAAAGTAACATTTCCATATTGCCTTAATGGTTTTTTCTTTCTCCAGCCGTCCTTCTCATGAATTCGCAGTCGGCGAGGCTTTTCTAACTCCATCTCCCCTCTTCTCTTTCTCTTTTCTCTCCGCAGCAATTTGGAAAGATTTTAGATGTGGAGATTATCTTTAATGAGCGAGGATCCAAGGTAAGTGAACTAGAACACCAGCTGCTTCATTACCATGTACTTCTTCTGTTTCCTAATGATGGCATTAGTGTAGTGTGTACATTGGCGGAGGGTAGTGGTCCCTAAGCCTGGTCCTGGAGAGCCGCATCCCATCATGCCTCTCCGTCTCCCTCCCTCCCTCCCTCTTGTTTTTGTTGTTGCAGCTCTAACCCAAGTTGTGAATCATTAGCCCTGTCAATCAATTCATTATTGAGCTGTTTCACAATTCACTTAATCCAGCAGCAGGCTGCAGGTCCTGAAGCTTATGGAATTGAAACGCCTTGTTTAGGGAGTGGGTGTTTGAAGCCTGGGTGTTGCTCCTACATTATTCAGGGTTTTCTCATTTAGTTTTTTACATATACTATAATTCAGTATAGGAGTTCTCTGGGGTGTTTTGAAATGCTAGTTTAGCTAAAATACAATTCCAAGGCTAATCCTACTTCCAGCTCAAGCTTTGGACAAACAGGATATCACGTGTTTGCTGTGTGGAAGCTTTCGCACATTTAATTAATGCCTACACACAAGCTAATTCAATGTGATTTTTGAAGTAGCCAGTTAAAGGACAAGCTCATGAAAAGACCACAACCAGCAACGTGTCGGTCCGTCTCTTCGGCTCTAAGTCCAATTGTTCCCATTGATGCTGGAAGTCTTTCAAATTGGGTCACAGATAATAAAAAATAATTGTAAAGGCTTAAAATGTTCCTAGAAAAGCTGGGAACTGTAGTTTTTAGTTACTTAAAGAATAGTAACAAACGTGCTGCTGTTGAGGACTATTTTCAGCAGCGGATTATTCCACATGTGTTCCTCCAGTGTTCATTTCCTTCAACACGACGGCCCACAATATATGAAATTGTCAATTATTCTACACTTTGAGTTTGTGATGTGTTTAATCAACAATGGCACAGAGGAATACCATTTAACTCTGACTGCACAGGAAATACTGTGGCTTTGGTCTTTTTATGGAATTATGCAAGAATGCAGAATATGTAGACAGCCCAATCCTTTAAAGTCATGGAAATATTCAATACAAAATGTATTTCTTGTAATCTTAATCTTGATTATGTCAAAAAATCCAAACCCCTGAAGCAATAACTCCAATAACCCAGCAGTAGCATAGCCAAAGCGCCGCATTGTGCTGCAGTATCAGTCTCCTAACCACCTACCATGGACAGGTGAGGCCTGCGGTGGTGCGAACAGCCAAGTGCTACTCATCCAGCTGTTCATTTAATAGAGTGCACTAAGCTCCACAGCTTTCCATTCATAAAGGAGACAGGATCCCTGGCTGGGTGTTGAGGCATGAATACTATTGATTCCCATTCATACCTGGGAGTAGTTTGGGCCGGTACACAGGCATGCAGGGAGCCTGGGAGCCGCTGCACTCAGCCCCCTCTGCCAGACAAGATTGAGCACCGGATAAACCTGCCTCCTCCGCCGTAACAAGCATTTATTGTTTGTGCCCTACAAAGCCATTACCCATGATGCCTCTCTCTCTACCCGCACCCTGTGTGCTATATAATGAACCTACCAGGCCATTAATAAACAATCTATTTCCTATGAAGCTTTGGCAATTTGCATTCAATATGTTTGTCTCCTTTGAAAAATGGTGGCTCCACTCGCCCCTCTTGTAAGCTAATTATTTGTGCATGATAAAAAAAAATGAAAAAAAATGGAGGGGGTAACAGTCGGGTGAATGTCCAAAGGATTAATTTTGCCCTCAATTCCTTTTTTGAATTTATTTCTTTATCTCTCTTCCCCCCAAGGACAGGTCTTGTGTTATTTATGCTGGAAATAGCAACCTCTGAGTTCCTGTGTATGCATACGAGATCACGCCGCTCGCCATCTCTCACATGTATTACATCCTCAAGCAATTATCAGGCAGCGCCGGCCATGCCCCCCCCCTCCTGCCTCTATAAGTATATATAGAAACCGAAGGAATGGGACTTGGCCGGCATATCTCATTGCTGCTGCTGCTATAGAGCTCAGGTCCAGTGTCCCAGTCCACATAACTCAAGCTAGTGACAAACCCCCACAGGGAAGAAGGGAGGGGGGAGGATTTTCTTTTGGGGGGGGATAGAAATGCAAGGTATATTTTGGTCATGGTGTAAAGTCAATATCTTTATAACAGATCGATGGTATTTGCGGCGACATCATTCACTTTTTTGTCATTTTCAGAGAAGTAAATTACAAATAGTCAAAGATCAGGTTAACATGTCCCCCAAGGATTCATTCACTCCTTCTCCCACGTCTTCAAAGGGGCTCGTTTGAGCGACCGCGCTGCCCAAAATGTGTGTTGATAATTACACCACTATTATGGCAGCTAACACAGCGTTTTGCATCCGCTGCCTCCTGACATTCACCCGTGGCACAGGTGCCGTGGCGTTTAATTGGGTAAAGCAGGCAGGTTTGTTGGTGTTGATGTGCGGGGTCATGTAACCGTTATCCTCTCCTCCTCGGATCTCTCTGTTTGCTGTTTCCTGACGCCTCACTAACTGCCTCTAATTAATCTGGCTGCTTACAACTCCACTCTGCCGCCGCTGCTGCTGCTACTGCTACTACTCCTGTCTTCTTACCTCTTTTTTTCCCTCTCTCCCCTTTCTTTTTTTCTGTGTGTGTGTGTGTGTCCATCCTTTCCTACTCTCCTTTCTCTATCCTAACCTGGCGCTCTCAGGGCTTTGGGTTTGTAACTTTCGAAACAAGCACAGATGCCGATCGTGCGCGGGAGAAACTAAATGGTACAATCGTAGAGGGACGCAAAATAGAGGTGCTTTCCTTTTTCCCCCGCCTCTTTTAACCATAATTTTCTACTTCCTGCCTGCTGCCTTCTAAATGTACCCATAAAGCCATTCATTAGCATGAGGATGCCGTGTGTACGTGTGTGGATATTTGCATCCCTGTGTGCCTGGAAACATGCATGCATAATGGTGCGTATAACTTGAGTGGAATGTGGGGTCCATACGTGGACACGCTACTTGTCCATCATTACCTGAAAATGCAGAATGAATGCATGCCATCATCCTCTGGGTCCCTGTCAAATCTGAGAAGCCTTGTCACCATCGTTTAGTGTTGCCTGCTCTTATTCTGCTCTTGTTTACCGAGTCGTCGTC